GATTTGATCCACCTGATAACCTGGGCCCTACGGTAAGTGTTGTGCCCTATGTCCAATTGATTTTAGACATAAAAACTTTTAATATGATTGATGTATTATTATTTATAACAGATCTATTATTTAATTGAGTTATTATTCTGATAAATTAAATTAATAGACTTTTGTAGATTTAAGTCTTGATAATTTTTTAATTACAAGGAGTTGTGATTGTGAAATACAAATTATATGTGACTTAATATTAAATTACCCGTGTTCATAAGTAATAATAAGATACAGATATCATTATTATGAATAAATTAGTACATGTGACATATCTTACTTATAAAGTGAGAAGCTGATCTCACCCCCTAAAATGTAGAACATTTAAACGGACGTATGGATGTTTTGTTTAGAGAACAAAATATTGGAGACTTGCAATAGAGATTATACATAAATAACTATATGAGCTCAGTGGTTGATCTCTAATTTTTCGGTATTGGAATTGGTCCTTCGACTTGAGGNAAATATTGGAGACCTGTTAGGGAGATTCTATATGGATAACTATCTAAGTGGCGTGGTTATAGCGGTTGGTAGTGGAATTGGTCCTTCGACTTGAGGTCATCATGGTATTTTATATGAGGACAACCATATTTTGGTGATATTGAATGTTGTTCTGCCAAAGTCTTTAATACGACATCGTTCGAGTATGTCAAGAATTATACGAAGATTGTGAATGATTAATAGATGATTCATCACTCTTAGATAGTAAGAGATTTTAATCTACGTTTCGTTCATGTAAGTTGATATCAAAATCCTTGATCATACGTAAGTTGAGAGTTTCGAATATTATTGACTTAAGAATGTGATGAAATATATGATCAATAATAGAGATTAACATACCCATATCTCGTAACTGATCGGATCATAATGCGTAAAGGATTATAATTTTATGGTAAACGAACAAGTTTGACTTTGTCACACCAATTACCATGTTACATTTTCGTTCACATCCGACACATTGCTAAATGTTAATTTGTGACGAATAATATGAATGAATTAATTAATTAATATAGGTAAATTATTCTTTTTTAATTTCTCTTATTTTGATTAAATAAAAAATAATTTCCGTCTCCGACATCATGATCGAAAACCTAGTGGGTCACATGTATAAGGGAGAATTAGAAAAATGATATTAAGAATTAATTAATTGACAAGTGTTCGACATTTGTGAAATTAATTAATTGGATTGTTTATTAATGAGCTTAAGTTAATTAATTAGATTAATTAATTTATAAGCAAAGTTTAATTATTTAAATTAATTAACTAATGAGCCGACTTCTGTTTAGAGGATGGGTTAATTCCACTTAAATATCTATAAATAAGCAATTATGGTTTAAGTTTTTCACGATTGTTACAATAGCAATCGAGATTACAAACACAATATCATAATTTTGCCAGTACAAGAAAGAGAAACCCATAATTTCTCATTCTTGGAGTGAATTCACTAAATTTTCAGCCATGCTTCTAAGGGGTCACTG